TGATTGTAAGATGGAAAAGCATCATCGATAAGAATGGAGATTATTTCATTTAACAAATGTTTTGTTTTGATATACAAGTTGTTCGGGTTTTTCATCTAAAAAAAGTGACATTAATTTATTGACGACCTAATATTTGAAATTTTACCCAAATACAATACAGTCAATGTTTGAAGTTATTAAAAATGTATGCCTTTTGCCCACAAAACTGTCCAAGTATACTTAACTTCACAGCATAAATCTGTTGTACTGAGTTGATTGCATAGTATTTCCCATAGTGCTGCTAAAATATTGAGATATTAAAATAACTCAAAATCTAGAGGCGATGAACAACTTCTGACAAGGGTTTTGAAACCAAAACCGTCAAATTACCATGAATCACTTGAATTTTTCTCCAGTAGCAAATTTTTTGTAGTCCAGTGTAATTTGTGATACCCATTCTTTAGACGATTTAACGTTTTATTATATACATGTGTGTGTGTTAAAGCATTAATCACTTGGATTGTTGAGACCCTTAATCACTTGAGGTTTTAAAATCGTTAGTTTTTTACAATAATAACGTGTATTAGTTTCGCATGTTATTTTCATTGCTATTATCTTGATTACTGATGTTTTATTTCTAGAAAACTTGTGTGTTATTATTGACACAATTTTCCTAATTTAGTTACTAATCTCTAGATCTGTTTGCTCTGATAGTTTCTTGATAATAATCTCTAGTATCTAGAGCATTAATATTTAGGATACTCAGTGTATTAATACTCCGAATTATAAGGATTTTTAGTTGTCTCGTTTAGGAATTCAATTTTTTTAAATCTCTGATAACTTTAAAAATATGACTCGAAGATAAGAAAGAAATATTTATCGTAGGAATAGGTTTCATGGTTAGATTTACTGAAAATACTATATTGTAATGTGTTATTATTTATTATAGTTTGCAAATTCACAGATAAAACATTAATCAACTAATATTTAACAAGCTTACCTGTTTCTTTCTTTTTCTTATCTATTTCTCTGTCTACCTGTTTGTCTAATTCCTTCATTATTCGACTGTTTCTCGCTTTAGATCCTTCTATCTATCTAAACATTGCCTCTTAGCTTTCTGCTGTAGCCAGATACGTCTCTCTCTCTTTTAGTTGTGTATGAGTATGAGTCTCTTGTTGTTGATCTTCTGCTTCTATTTTCAGGATCAAGCAGGTTCTCTTTCACCGAGTGAAGACCTTCAAGTGTCTATTCAACATATTCTGAAAGCATGCAAGGACTTGAAGAAACAGGTAAAACAAAGTACCAAGATATTCAGCTTTTCTATAGAACCTATTATGTTTTAATATCAACAGTGTAGATTCCTACATTCGCTTTTATCTAAGACAAAAGTCAATAAATCCATTGTTCTGTCTCAGCGATGAACAAAAAATTGATTCTCTTTTACTTTCTTCACAGTAAGAGATTTACATATCTAACATAAATTGAACAGTAAGTTTCTACAAACTACACACTTGATAATCAAACTCGCTATCTGTTGTTTATTTAAGAATATTTCTTTCGTTGAAATATCTTTTTTAAAACACGTTTCATAAATATATTTACCTTAATGGTGTTGAATTATTACAAGAACAAAGGTTGAAGGAAGTTATCTTAGATTATCAACTTATATTAATGTATTTTAAGTGAGAAAAGTATATTTTTTAAACAGTGGAAGTATTGATATTTTCAACTTGAACTGTGCATTTGTGGGCACATGTGACTAAACGGTTCGGACAAAATACATGAGATTCATATAAGATCGTCCTTAATGTAGAACTGCTGATCAGGGGGAAGATAGCAGCCGGCAGCTTTTGTTACCAAATAATAGATCTGTCACCGTTGGACAAATCATAGACATTTCCATCACAGCTAGGCAGGTAATCTTAGATGTAAATCGTAACAAGAAGTGTTTCTAAACACGATACATTGCTCTCACTTTTCTATTTTCAAGCTGTTCCCGTAGTGTAATCTTATCGTACGCAACACTACTATAAGCCAAAGCATGAAACTGGTGTTATGTTTACGTATTTCTATAAACTGTATACTATTAACGTATTACTATCGTGGTTCATATATGAATTAGTTGGAGGAGGGCTGCTAATAATTATTCATAAGAAGCTCTACAGAATATGTTGATAGTGGTAGAAGAGTAGCAGATTAGGATGCTAAACAGATAAAGTACAGAACATGTTGAAGGTGGAACAACTGGATGCTACAAATATAAAGTACAGAACATGTTGAAGATGGAACAACTGGATGCTACAAATATAAAGTACAGAACATGTTGAAGGTGGAAGAACTGGATGCTACAAATATAAAGTACAGAACATGTTGAAGATAGAAGAACTGGATGCTACACAGATAAAGTACAGAACATGTTGAAGGTGGAACAACTGGATGCTACAAATATAAGGTACAGAACATGTTGAAGATGGAAGAACTGGATGCTACAAATATAAAGTACGGAACATGTTGAAGGTGGAAGAACTGGATGCTACAAATATAAAGTACAGAACATGTTGAAGATGCTACAAATATAAAGTACAGAACATGTTGAAGATGCTACAAATATAAAGTACAGGACGTGTTTACAGCGGAAGAAGGACTGGATGCTAGACAGAAAAATACAGAATTTGTTTACAGTCGAAGAGGTACTGAATACGTGACAGATAAAGTACAGAATTTGTTTACAGTTGAAGATATACTTGTATACGTAACAGATAAAGTACAGAATTTGTTTACAGTTGAAGATATACTTGAATACGTAACAGATAAGGTACAGAATTTGTTTACAGTTGAAGATACACTTGAATACGTAACAGATAAAGTTAGCTCTCTGATGGTTCTGCGGTATTCCTGATTGCTTAGAATGCTAAAAATCTGGTCTTCATAACCACGATGGGCACACTAGAGATAGCTCATTGTGTAGCTTTGTGCTTAATAACAAACAAACACAATAAAGTATATATTGTCTTAACAGTCAAAGTGGTTCTGTATGCTAGAAACTATGATTCTGTATCCTGAGCAGATAATAGAGGATATAATTACAGTCGCAGAAGTACCGAATGCTAGGCTGGAATTATAAAATACGTTAACAGTGAAAGATCTACCAATTGCTAGAGAAAACTTGGAAAATGCATTGAAAGTATATAAAATGATGACAGTTGAAGAAGTTCTGGACAGCTACACTGTCACGCAAGAAGTCTTCACCTCGCATTGCACGAACTGCCAAGACATCGTTAGGACATAACACTTTTGAGGTCGACTTATCAGAAGCCATGACCCTCATCCTTGTTGATTTGGAGCTATTGGAACATCTCATGTCTTTGATTTAACGTGACTTTCCCGGTACTTTGACCAACTTGAAAGAACACCAAGTAAGGGGCATCTGTTGCACATCGGACAATGATGTCATTCAATTATACATTCTCTTACAAATGAAAACAATATCAAAAACGAACATTGTTTTCATTTAGCATTGTTAGCGTGTTGACTTATAAACCTAGCCATCAGCGCCCTCTGGTGACAATTATTTCTGGATTGGAGTAATTTTATCATCATATCATTATTTTATCTACGAAATATTACAGCTGCCTGTTGATTATCTTTTGACAAGCCACTAACTTTATAATAATCTCATATATATATATTTCAAACTATTAAACACCGTATCTCGTAAGTGGAACTCAATAGGGCTGTTACAGTGTTCATGATAGTGAAAAAATATCCAGGATCTTAAAGGTAAGAGATTATAATTTAATCATGGACAAAAGCAGGTCCACCAGTCCAACACGCCAGGGCTTGATCGGTTCTAAACGTGGTATGTTACAGTATATATTATCGCCACTTGTTACTTTAACAGTTGAGTGTATTTTGTTCTGTATTTTTAGCTCCAAGATACAACCCTTGATCACTCGGATGAACTTTTCAAAGTGACAAATGAAGTAGAATTGATGAATCGTTTGAAGAATGCAGCCGTAACGGGTGACCGGAATAAATTAGGAGGATACGCGGAGAAGTTTAGCGAGCACGTTGACCATCTTCAGGAGGTACATTAAATATTGTTTTGATCCGAGTTAGCATGATGACTTTTACAGCAAAATCTTTCTTTATTTTGTATTTTTATTCATGAAGTTTGTTTGAATTAGACAGAGTGATAACAAAACAAAATTGGTAAATTTACAGAGTTAAAATCGTTGATAATTCTAACTCCAAGCAATTCAGTCCTAAGGTTCTAAAATTATGCTTCAAAAAATTGCCTGAAGCATCAAAACATATACTTGACAAAACCAATGAAAGGTTTTAATTTTCTTACCCATGTCTAAACATCTGTTTGAATAAATCATGCCTCCAGTAGTGGTTCACTTGAACCGAGATAATGGGTTTCCATCTTAGCAATTATCTGGAAAGGAGATAGCTCCTTTTTTTAGAGAATCTATTATGATTTTTATTTGACGTTTTGGATACATATTTATCAAGTTTAATACATATGGACATCTCCTCTGGACAATTTCCTGAGGAACGACGTTTCTACACACTAATGTAAGGCTGAAGAAGATTAACGTAATGTATCGAAACGAAGTTCTTTATCATCATTAAGCTCCTCATCCAAGCTACTCACAACAAAGAAAAACAACTCTTCATCTTCATTAAGCTCCCCATGCAGGCTTCTCACAACAAAGAAAAACAACTCTTCATCTTCATTAAGCTCCCCATGCAGGCTTCTCACAACAAAGAAAAACAACTCTTCATCTTCATTAAGCTCCCCATGCTGGCTTCTCACAACAAAGAAAAACAACTCTTCATCTTCATTAAGCTTTACGTACTGGCTTCTCACAACAAAGAAAAACAAATCTTCATCTTCATTGAAATCCAAGAGAGAAAAACAAGGAAACACTTCATCAGACATTATATTTAAAATCCCCCAGCCACGTTACTCAGAACAAAGAAAAAAATTCCATCTTCATTAAGATCCACAGTCAGGCTACTCACATCAAAGAAAACAAACTTTGCATCTTCATTAAGATCTCCCAGTCAAGCTACTCACAATAAAGAAAACAACTCTTCATCTTCATTAAGATCTCCCAGTCAAGCTACTCACATCAAAGAAAACAAACTTTCCGTCTTCATTAAGAT